TCTACAGCAATGCATCACAACGTCTTGTTCACCTGTCCTGATGAGTTCTTAGAACAGTGAAAGATAGGATATATAAAACATTGCTATGTCGTATCATGTTGAAAGTAATAAAAATATTTGTCATACATATTTTTTCACACAAAAATCTTGAAAACTTGAATCTGTTTTCAAAGAAGCAAAATGTTCTCTTGAGTTGTCTTAATTGGTTTTGAGAGAACTGAAAACAAAGACGTGCAAGATACTATATTTTTCACTCTTCTAAATTAAATTTCTTCCAGTGTTTAAACGAGTAATTGCCTGAGTGTTCACTGTTAAGTCTTTAAGGCGATCTTCAAAGACAAAACGTGCCATTTTGGTATTACCATTGCATTTAGTAGTGTTTTAATACATTAAACTTGATTTTGATAAAAATTCGGCTTTTGTAGTAGCGTTCAGTTTACTGTTATCGTGAAAAATTAGAATGTGTCATACAGTTTTTCTTTTTCCTTTCTCCAAATTTATTATTATTAAGCAGGAAAACCTTTTTCTATGAATATTGTGAAGAGTTTAATCACATATCTATATAAGAAATCAATATTTTTATCATTTTTTTTGAGGAAAATAGATGCANCCTATTTCATTCTCCTTCCATTAAATCTGTTGTTTCGTGTCGCTGCAGTCCTAAGTAGAAATCATAATAATTTATTTAATAAGTCAAACCTTGCCATTGCATGGTTCGTTCATATGAATTTAACTAAAACAAATATATCATTTAAATTTAAACTCACCATTTTCGACTTGACTTTTGGGATACTCTGTCTAATGACTTCATTTTTTATATAGATTTCTGTCGAGAAACAACTAACTGGTACGTTTAAAGTTAAATAATAAATGATTTTTTTTCTTTTTAGGTTTACGCGAATGAATAGTAAAATGGTGAGTTTAAATTTAAATGATATATTTGTTTTAGTTAAATTCATATGAACGAACAATGCAATGGCAAGGTTTGACTTATTAAATAAATTATTATGATTTCTACTTAGGACTGCAGCGACACGAAACAACAGATTTAATGGAAGGAGAATGAAATAGGTGCTGGGATTCAAATGATGACAAGTCTCAGTAACTATAAGTATAAATGAACTCGTCTATATTCGTCTTCAGATATCACAGCACTCAGTCTCGCAGGCATAGGATAATTGAACTGTTGTCCTTAGCTATGGTTTCAACAAACCATTGATCATAGTAACAATCGATTAAGCATATCAACTGCAGTGTTTTTTCTTCGGATAGAACCTCTTTTTAGTAGTAGAGAAAAGTGTTCGAAATAGAACCAGATCTTTGTAGAAACTCAAACGATTCACAAAATGGTATTTAAATTCAGAAAGGTTCACTGCAACATTGTTTTTTTTTACAGAGCACGAAGTGAAAATAAAATAATAGTATTCGTATAGCCAAAGATGAAGAAAGACCAATAAAATTGCTAATGTTCTGGGATATTCATATGATTGAATTGAATATCGGATGTGAAGTTACTTTAGTAACAGAGAGGATGTTCGGATAGCTTCATTGATAGAGCAGTCAACTGAATATTGGAAGGTGTGGGTTCGATTCCCATTCTTCTCAAATAATTCTTTCTATTTCATCTTTCATATCTAATAGAGCATGTCAAGTGGATGTATTTATTTTAAAATTATGAATATTTTCATGTAAACAAGTAAAAGGATTATAGATAGTTATTGATGAACTCATGCTTTCTATTTCGAATTTCAAACATTTCAAACTCACCATCACCCTCTTTATCTTAACATTAGAATGTTATTCAGAGTTTTTTATTCTTTTTATACTTCTATTGATTTGAGATAAATTTCTATACAGAATATTAAAATTCATAATTTATCTGATAATGACCCAAAAGCAAGGTTTAAACAATCATGGTAAGTAACTTGGAATTAATTTGTAAACTCACTCACACTTTATACTTCAGTATCGATTACTGAAAAGCAAGAGTTGAGATTAGCAAATAGATTTGTATCTTCAATACATATGGATCAGTCTGTTTTGCTTTTGAATCACCCCTCTCATGCAGCAGTAACAGTTCAACTAAATGAATCATTAGTTACTGATGTTCTGATATACTCTAATTATAGATAGATCGATGACTAAATATGCTGTGAATTTTGTCGCTGAAAAGAATTTTAAATAATTTAGCTGGCAAATCAACTGGCCGAATATCAGAAGTTACAGGTTCGACTTCTATTTCTATTCAATGATCTTTTCCATAAGTCTGTCATAGTTATTGAGACGCATTCGAGTGGTTACACTTTCTAACATGAAGATATATTTTCGCTGACAAGTAATTACAGTTACTTTCCTTCAGAATCTCTTATTTATTTTCTTATATTCACCCTCATTTACATATACTTACTACTACAAAATAATGTTATCTTTGCTTCGACAACTGAATAACTTTGATTTCGAATTGGTTGTTAGTTTAATTTTAAGACTTGAACTAGAAATCTTGCCCCCTGAAGAGTCTGTTGAACAAGGACGAAATTGATTGTGGTAATTCATATATACATCCTCAGATCCTCATCTCATTCTCTACCTTATCTTGATGATATAATGAATGAATAATGATGATCAAATGAACCATATAGTGGATGTTTTATTGTCGAAAAACAACAAACAAGAAAGAACAATCAACGAAAGAGATCACGAATGAAAGATGCTAAGAGAAAAATAAAGATCAAGGAAGAAAATCACAATAGCAATGATAACCATGATAATCTCACTAACATATTTTCACAAAATAAACTAAAACTACAAAAATCAAAAGAAAACTCAATGTAAATATATATCACATAAAAATCGAACAACACAACAGGAAAAAAATGATCATCATCTATTAACGATGACCAACAAGACAAAAGCACAATGGATACCAAAGAAGAATGAAAAGAATTCAATAAAATAGAAACAGATTAGCTTCATAGAGTGATATCTGTCGACGCCAATATCAGTCTTGATTACGTATGTCTACGTTACTTCGGCATTGATATCTGCTATTTTTCAAAGTTGATTTTCGAGACACTTTCTTGGTCAATATACGATGTTTAACGGCAGAGATATCGCGCCCTTTTCCCTCTCTTAAACTAGTACAAAAGAGTACTAGGTGAATCACGTACTTTTTTATGATTTGAAATCCGTATTATAAATAGATTTTAAAGATTTCATGTTCCCCAAAATGTGAAGTATGGGAACAAAATAGATGTCGTGCTCCTCCTCGCTTCACATCAGCTAGTAACACAGCATCAAACGAGTAACACGGTTTTGCGACTGTACTCCAAAGTTCAATTGTAATAAATACGGAAGAATTCTTTATGGATGGGCACCTTATTTAACATGTATTCTTCCACACTGTAGTAAATGTGTTGATAGAGAGAGGCATCCAGAAAGATCTTCCTGAGTGTAATAGCTTACTTAAATGTTTTCCATAGTGTGGGTGTGAGTGAAAAGAAGACCACATCCATGCCCGCACTCTCTTTCTATTTTTTTCAGTCAAAAATCTTGGTTCACATTGAAGAAAAACAAGTGCCTAGAAAGAATGAATTCAATTTAGTCTATGTAGACTTTGAGACACGAAATTGATGTCACATAAAAAAGGCATTACTCAATGGTTGTCAATCGTTACAACTATAATCTGTTGAGATATGTGAACTTTTATAAAAAAAAAACAAAAATTAAGTTAACTGAAATCTACTTTTAGATTGTATCACTGAGTTCCGTACGCATGACATAAAAACAGATTACTATGGCCAACAGTGAAATGAAAAGTAGATAATAATCACTGATCGTGGATGATTGTAAATATATATATCTGTTCTCATAGTTTTATAAAATAATGAATACTAATGGATATCAACAGATGTGACTTTCACATGTGTATAAGATAGGATAGACCGTAGACAAAACTACACTTAAAGTAGGTGGCTGTAGATAATAGCTGATTTTATTGTATGAGCCGAAAAATAATCATCTTTTAGTCACTTATAAGCGTATTTATTGTCTCGTAGGATATATTTTGGGAATCAGTATATATCTTACTGCGAAACACTGAAGTTATTTTATTAATTAAAACAACAGTGTCATAAATACTTTTCACTTACAAATATACAAATAGTTCCTTAAACAGGTTCATTTATCAGTACTATTGTTATTTATTGGAAAATAGTAAAAGCACCTAATAGTGACTTTTTCGATTCAAACTTTTACTTGAGTTTGGTGATATCATCATTGAATAACATTTAGTATAATATGCACCCTAAGATAAATGATTAGTAAATATAGAACGAGCAAATATGACTAAAACAAAATTTAAAATTAAATTATAGTATGTATTGAATTATTTTAAATGTTTTTTATTCTTATTTACTCGTTTTATGTTTACTAAGCATTATTTGTAGGCTGTAAATTATAGTGAATTTTAGTAGCTGATGTTGTCTATATTCCCATATAATAAAAAACACCAATCGTGTTATTATATATTTCTTTTTGTCATTACCCATACTCTCTTATTCTTCTATCTTCGATGATTTTTAGAACTGCTTAAGCTGAACTCATGTTGACAAAAAATCCACAAAATTTACAATATTAACCTGGTTGACATGAAGATATTTTTAAATTGTTCTTTAAAAAATGAAAAAAAGACTCAGTTATTGATAAAAGTAGTATTCGTTAAATGAAAAAATGAATTTTAAATGAGCAAATTATAATAGTTATTGAACACTAAATATTATGCTGATAGTTTGATTTATTTACTGACAATTTGTATATAATACTAAGCTTTTAGAAAAAACAAATGCTGGGAGTTTTATTTGTTCATATAATACAATATTGAACTAGAGTACATATAATTATTTTTGAATAAAATATTTCATTAAATAAAACAAAAACAACATTTTAGAAAAAACCAAAGATAAATAATTTTTCAATAAGTTCATTCATTCAGTATTTTTAACATGGATATTATGGATTCAACAGCAACAACGAAATACATATGTATGGGTCATCAACCACAGCAAGGTAGCCTTTCACCATCTATTTACATATTTGATAATCGTATATCATCTGCTCCACCATATGTGGATATATTTATTTGATAACTTTCTGTTTCAGGACGTTCAGCAGTATATTATCAAACAGCACATGTTGAGCCAACACAATCATTAAATATATCAACAGCACAACGATTTAGTTCAACAGAATATTTAAATAATATGAATAGTGGTATGGTACCATCAATATTTCTATCAGCTCGTCAAACATTTGATATACGTTATACTCGAAAAGATTGGCATAATGCTCAAATGACAAATTATTTTGCATCGGATAAAATTCGGCCTGCATCCGAACGCTTACGTTCAGATACAATAGTTTCAGCACGAGAGAAAGATAAACAAGCATTTAAAAATAATGTTGAATCATCAAAACGCTTAGCTAAAAATATAAATGATATTGAATATTGGGAAAATGAATTAAAAAAAACAAACGATAAAATGAAACATAAAATAAATGATATTGAATTGAAACAACGCGAAATTGAACGATTATTATCTGGAACAGAAAAACCATTACATACAGCACAAGAAAATATATATGAACGTGAAAAACGTCAAGGTTTTCTAATTTAATCTGTGTAAGTAAAAGAAAATAAGAAATTATTTTTATTTAGGTATCGATCTTGTACATGATAATGTTGAACAAGAACTTCTTCGAGTAAGTTTTCATAATTACAAAAAAGCAACTAATAAAAAGGAAAGTTGATATAGGAAGTTAAAACAATTGAATTATCTCAATAAAAACTTCGACAAATGCTCAAACGTCTTAATAGCCAAAATGCGTAAGTTTTCTTTGTCATAATAGACTAACTACTTATGATCTGATCTTTTTAAGTCTTAATCTTGTTTCATTACATGAATTATAACATGATGCAGAAGATAAATTTCATGCTCATGTACTTGATTCAGCTGCTCTTAATATTAAAACAACATCATGTGATATTAACTTTTATGAGAGTATTGAAAATGTTGATAACACGTAAGTTTGAAATCATGAGGATATTGATCTTATGCATGTTAATATTCAAAGCCAAAAAAAACACAACGAATAACAAAATTATTATTGAAATATATATAATTTCTTTTATTGTTCAATTTCATTTTTGCTTCAATGAAATCTTTGTATAAGTATTACTTTTTATGCTCTCAAACGATCAGGTATATTCTATTCTCAGTGAAAAGTATAGAGTGGTCAAAGAAATTTGTTTAAGTTATATAACTGATGCAATAAGTATGGACTAAGTTGGAACTCTAGTTTAAATTTCGAGAACTATCCAATGAATTTTGACAGTGTCGAGTATCTAGGTTGTATGCCAATTGCTTCTTAAGCCATCATGAAAATACTCCAAGATTCTGTCTAGATCGAGTTTTGTTGAACATTGTTAATTTTCTTATAGAATGTCTTTAGCCCTTCCATTTTTCGATCATTTATTTCAGTCTATGTAGATTTATCATAGAAAACTCTGAAATCAATTCGATCAGCTTCTATTTCCTGTTAGAAATTAACTGAAAATGATTCTAGTCTAGATTGAATCCTCGGATTGTTATTCGATGTATGTCTACATTCCAACTTTTTAAAAAGCGATTGAATGAAATCATTCAAAAAGAAATCGTATAGCTAACATTTTTTGGTCATAGTAATTAAGTTAAAAAAACAATCTCACATACCTTTCATTAACTCTTTAATGGCCAGAGGTACAAATATGTACTACTTTTTGTTTTCGATTGCAACACTATAACGAACTAACATCCATGACTCTGGTAGAAAGAATGATAATATTGCTGTGGTGTTGTTACTTATTTTGTATAGTACGCGGTTGTTATTCCATTGGTTTGATACAAAACTAGGGTATGAATGTGGATATAGATGTAAATCTTTTGTTCACACCTAACAACACCTAGACCCACCAATAGAACTTAATCATTCAACATTGGACTGTTAAAGAGTTAAAACAGTATGTCATTGTATCAAGGTACTAAATAAAGCCATTGTCATATTTTGCCACACATTATGCAATCTTGTTTCATGCATTTTAGAAATTTGAGAACTGCTCTAACATACTTTGTTGTAATTCAAAGTACTTTCGAGTTACTTTGGCGTAATTTCAAGTACTTTTTCTGTACTTTCAAGTACTTTTTCTGTACTTTCAAGTACTTTTTATGTACTTTGAGGTACTTTCAAGTACTTTTGTACTTTGACGTACTTTATATACTTCAAGTTTGCTTTTTCCCCCTTGGCTTATAGGCAAAATTTCAGCTCTCATGAAAACACATATAACTCTTCATCAATAGGCCATGGGTCTGTATCGTTCTAAGCTTTTCTTATTCTTATTAAGATCTACTCGTAACCCTAATATGAAATCAAACAGTATCCAACAGTAGACTATGTTCCCTCGTGAGAAATAATTAAAAATGATCTATTTTATTTCGTCTTGGATTAGTCAGACAAACTCATTCAAATGGAAATTCTTCAGTTTTCATCAAAGGATATACTACTAGGGTGGAGGTCTACCATTTAATAAGTACTGAAGAGTTACAATACTCCGCAACTAAATTAGTGAACTTGAGACAAAAAAATTGTTAATAGTAACCAAGTTACTCAGAAATGTCAACAAATTGTCTCATAGTATCTTTGAAACTTTTTTTCCTGAGTACTCTGGGATGTGATTTTTTCAACGAATTCTTTTACCGTTTTTAGCGAAACTTTATTGCAATTTAATTTCTAACGAACATCCTTATGGAATAATCTCTATGTGCAAAAAACCTTTCAATACATAGTATACGCTAAAGATATCAAATGAAAAATAAATTCTCGTTATTTTTCAATTTTTTTCTTGTTCAAAAATCAACGAAAAAGAAAAACAGAGAATTCTTCAATTGTTTTGGTCAATCAAAATTTACACTTGAAAAACAGACTTATTATTACAAAAAAAAAACAAATCATAACTAACATACATACACAAAACAAAAAGACATATATATGAGACTACTAAACGGATGAAAAAGAAAGACACAGTAAGTTAAATATAATTTCAAAAAAAAAATTTTTTTCACATGAGATTCAATGTTTTACTTATCATACTATTGCATTAACTTGAAAAATCCTGGCATCAGAGATATGAAACTAGTACGATGACCACGACCCATACTATTAACAAAAATATAACTATCTGAATCATTACTATTTATTGTAGATGAATATTTGACTGGTTTTCTTATGCCACGACCTATTGTTATATATTGATCTTTATCATCAGTATTATTATTATATGATGAAGATTTTAGCCAACGATAATCAATTTCAATTGACGGTACTACTCGTTGTTTTGATAATTTTGATAACTAAAAGAAAAACAAAACATTATTCATTAGTCAAATAAACAAGTTTCAATAATATTAATACAGAATAGGTTATTTTCATACAACATTAATCCCGATCATAGGCGATAGAAGCGCAAAGTTTTGAATAGGTTCAAACACTTTTTTCTTCTCCTATCAGATTGATAGATTTGAACGGCACATCAAAATTCTTGTACAAATGTCAATAACTTTCACCGTTTCGTATTGGATCAGATATAGGTAATGACTTCAAGCGGAGATCGTTCACAACAAGTGAAGAAGAACTATACCGAAAACCTAAGTCAGATTAACTAAAATTTGACAAAATTTTTCTTTCATCTTCGACGACTAAAATTGCATGCCTATTAAATATTTTCAACAGTGAACACATTCACAATGAAATATCTTCTTTTAATGATCGAATTTCAATAAATATACACGTTTACGTGTTTCTTATGTAAGTTGCGAATTTTTTTCTGATGGCCTTCACCAGTATTATACGCTGCAAAATGTGAGTTCGAAAAAAAGAACCACTAACTGTATCTGATTGGAATGGCATACAAAAACTGATTCTCTCTTATTTCTAACTTTCAAATGCAAGTCTTATTAAAAAAAAAAGGGTTGAGTTTAACTTAGAATCAAAACCTAATAGCCAATACCAGCTTCTAATAATTTATTATGCTCAAAACTAAAAAATAAATAACTATCTGATCATCCATTTCTAACACGCAACAACTCGTATTCGAAGTATTATTCATGATAGTTTGAGTTTTTCAGGAGATATTTATCTGTCAGTGGTGATTGCACTTACAAATCTTTAAGAATCAATTATTTCATTACATAAAGAAGGGTCAGCCTTTCTTATGAAAATCTTCCATAACCATCACTTACCCTTAAAAATTGGTGAAATTTAATAAAAAGACAGCCAAAGTAGGTTATTTCAATGTAAATTTTCGATCAATTTGTAAGAGAATCGAATGGAAAAGAAGATGAAACACTTATGATAAAAGTTTCAGTTTGTACGCAGTAAAAATGAATATTTCCACTAAATATAGGGTTTGCTATTCAGTGTAAACAAGAGCAGTTACATCATGTTTCACATGTTAATTTCGCAAAGGATAACCCTAATCATGTTTTTATTTTAAGTAAATAAAAAAAAAAATTATTTACTTTATTCTTCATTGATAAATTGTTTATTTGTTGATCCATTGAAGAAGAAACATTTGTTGATGATGATTGAACAAATACATTTGAACCTATTGTTCCTAATTTAATTGTATCTAATTTATTTGTCTAAAAGATAGAAATTAAGAAAAAAAAGTAATAAAAAATCTAAATAATTATTCTTTTACTTTATGTTGTTTTGTTAAAATACGTAAATTTTTTTGCTTTTCAATATATGTTGAACTAATTGAATTGATTTCTGATGGTGTTGATTCATTACTTATTGATTTAATTTCATGTATAACATTATTTATTGGTGATAATTCTATTATATTTTTATCAATTATTTCATTTTGAACATGTTGAGAAAAATGATTCAATAAAACGTTGTCGAACAAATCCATCAAGAAAAAGACTAAAACCATAATCAATAGCACGACAACAATTATTGTATAGCTAATGAATCATGATAAATACATAGTTCTTTAACTTGTATTGTATAAACAGGTCAAGGTAATTGTTCTCGAACACTTTGATGAGCAAAATCACCAATATCAAGACGACGAAGTATTGCAGCAACTAAAGCTTCAAATGAACAAATACGAAATAAAGGTTTTGATAATTGTTGTTGTTGTTGTTCATCATTATTGCCTTTGGATACAAGTCAATTAAGAAGATAAGTTGTTTGATCACGTTCAAATGCACTACAAAATATTATAATTGGTTCATTGATAGATGAATCAATAATTGAATCTACGCAAGAAAAATTTATTAAGATTTTACTCATACATGAAGTATTACTAGACTAACATAGTCTCCAAAAGATTTATATCTCAATAAAAAATAGAATCGTTTGAGAGAGAATCGTGCTACTCTACTTATAAGTAAAACATCAACTCAAAATCTTCAAATTATGTGTGAGACTATTTATAGACATTTCCCAGAAGACACCCACACCCTTTAGCATTTCAGGCGAAAAAAGATGTTTTTTTTTGGTCACTTCCAATCTAACTAACACGAAAAAAAATCGATAAACAAACTTTTTCCAAAAAGTAGTTATATATCTATGAATTTTTTATAATATTGTTTGAACGATTATATTCTTAATAGAATTTCTCAAAATGAATTCACACTGATCAAAATTCTATTTAGTTAACTATCGACTTTATTTATTAATAATAAGAGAGTTCGAGCGAATAGATTGTCAAAGATATTAAAAAGATTTTAAAGATAACTCGATTGTATCAGAAGAATTCAAAGTATTTCTACGTGATTGTCAAAGTTCAAATTCTTATTTCTAAATAAATCTCAACTAGCATGCATAAGTTATCAGATTTTTGATCGAGTCGAATCGAAATCCTTAAAGGTTTCCTTTTGATTTCAGTTATTTTTCTTTTTTACCTGTAGATATTAAATAGTGTTCCAATAAAAATTGGGTTCCTATTGATATTTCACTAGCAAGGAAACATTCCCAGGTGTCAGAGCGCTTTTCAGTCGGGGTTTCGCGCATCTTGTAGCTCACATTGAGCTGTGTCTATAGTAAAAAAAAGTTCGGGTTTCTGGCTTGATTCTGAAGAGGTATCGTGCTCCTAGTGAATTTTCCATATAGTATGCCTACATTGGTAGCAAAGCTATACTTTCGAATTTTGACCTGAAACTTTGCCTGCATAAAGGCCTCAGCTAGACTAGTTTGCATAAAAAATTTCAGAAGTTTTGAATAAAG